AATCTAAATAGGCAAATATAGATAGAAGTAGCCTAATTAAGCTAGGCTTGCTAGTAGATGCAAAGGTTTCTTTATAGTTTATACTATACTTTTGTAGAAAGCCTTTAGCAACCCACCTAGCCTTGTACTTCTTAATAGTATTGTCTAAGTTATATTTCTTAGTAAGAACCCACCTGCCCTTTATAACAGAGGCAGTCTTTGGTCTCTTAATAATAGACCAGGTGTTACTTTTAATTAGATCCTCTACCTCTACTTGCATAGCTTTTAGGTAGAGGTCTTTATCACTTCTAAGTAACACCTCCTTTAGGCTTCTAGGTTCTTCTAAGTTATTGCTATTAGAAGTAGCAAGTATATTCTCCAATATTGCTTTGTTATATAGAGATTTCTAGTCTTGCTTGCTATTAGCTTTATTAATAGCACTTGTGGCAATACTATATTGACTAGTGTCTTCTTTAATAATAGAAGTGTAGACAGCTAGTTTATCTTTAGAACTATCCTCTAGCTCTTTTGCTCTAGGCAAGTTATCTATTACACTAGAAGTAGGAGGTTTCTTATTAATAACAACCTTAGGATTTCTTCCTATAATTCTATACGTAGAGCTACTAGATCTATTAGGCTGTAGTCTAGTAAATACTCTCTGAATATTGTCGTTGTTATTAGGCTTATAGAAATAACCTTCTACAATTTTACAATCTCTAGCAGTTATAATCTTATTACTACTAGGATTATAGAGTTTATAGATATTAGACCCTACAAAGCCTATTAAGTAAAAAGGTGTAGCCTTAGAATCTAGCTTCTTAGTAAACAAGCTAGGTTCCTTGTAGTAAGCTAAAGAGCCAAAAACTCTTATATTGCTTAAATTAGGCAGTACTTTGTATTTCATAAAGTAAGGGGTCTTAAACTCTATAGAGCTACTAGGTGTTCTATTATAGAGGTACGTAGCAGCTAGTAATGCTTCACCCCAGATTAGCTTAGGTAGATTACTAGTAATTAACAGAGCTCTAACCTTGTTAAAGAGTACTCTATTAATTATCTCTGCTGCACCATTTTGCTCAGGAGTATAAGGAGCAGAATATCTAGTAAGAATACCCTTGCTAGTAAGGTATAAGTCTAGTTCTTTAGACTTAAACTCATTATCTAGCTGCAAGGATTTAACCTTATTATTACTAAAGGGTTTACTAGAATTCTTACTATTAGAGCTATTAGAGCTATTGTCTTTAGCCTCTAATTCTAGCTCAGCAATAGTAGTCCTAATAATATCTACTAT